GGGGGGGGGGGGTACTCCGTTGCATATGTTGCTATATTTTTATCGCACCAAACGTGGTCGAAGGAGCGTATCTGTTCGTCCTTTGGCGAATCACAGATCAATCCTTTCTTTACCTAGTTTCATGCGGCGACTTAGGAAACCACAGTAGGCTGTTTCGACATTCACTCAAGTTTCAGTTCCGTGTAAATTTGCCGACTTGCGCCAGTGAGAACAATAATTGTACGCAAATAGCAAACGAGGTTCCGAGCAACTGGTGACCGCATTGATCCAGTGTTCGCATTGCCAGGTGATTCAGATACACCTCGCCAAGGGATGAGTTTTTCCGTGTTGACTTGAAAGTTCCATTCGGTTGGCTTTCGCGCATGAGAATGTGCCAAAAGTATATCATCCTACTGGGGTTACTGTATTCGCATAATTCTAGTGGAATGACGGTTTACACTGAGCTCGCCAGGGTATTAGAAACCAGCAGCGGTGTTCGTCAAGAGTACTTTATTCCTCCAACCCAATTAAAAAAATGGCACCTGGAGAAACGATGTGCGATTCAGATTACTCAGAAGACAGTGTGTCCGCTCGAGCGTATGGAGAAGTGTATTTGACAGACTAAGAAATTCTACAACTCCATCCCGTGTACGTTTTACACCTTTAAAAAGCAGTGGCACCTTAATACTATCGCGTTTTGAAACAGTGGTTTTTTCAAATAGAGAAGCCAAAAGCAGGCTTGCACGATGTGTCCTGGATCATTTCGCTGCATCTGCACACGTGCATACCACAGTCTATGTGATCATTAATATATGGCCGTTAAATAACCAAATATTAGGCGGAGAAAGATTGCGCTCAAAATTACTCACCAAACACATTTGTTACCAAGGTAGTGCCAGAGTGATAAGCCATTCACGCTGTTGACGCAGTTCGGGATGGTAATTTTGAATGGCTAGTGCTTGGGTGTGTTTCAGAACCTTGGTGTCGCTTGTGTTGTAGAGGATTCTGAACGCGTCGCGCAGCATGACACAGTGTTTCATTTCGATTAGGTGTTGTGTGGTCGACGAACTGAGTTTCTTACGGGTCATTGGTAACCTCATACTTCTGAAGTTCCCACTCATTGTTTTCTGAAGCCAGACCGGGATGTGCTCGGTTACTCGGTAACGCAGTTGTTTCTCCGTTCTGCCGATGTAGATGACCGAGCCTCCAAACTTGAACTGATAGATATAATTAGATTTGGCTAGGGGGGACAGCGGTTCTTTCAGCGATAGTATTAGCAACCGGGTGGTTGTAAAAACAACGATGGGATCAGCTGCATAGTAGGTGCGCTTAACGTCCGATTTTAGGCAGCTGATATCGTCACCCTTGAAGGGCAGTTGCGAGATCACTCTCATCTTATCTGCACTGGTGTCTTTTCAAGGTTTTATAAACATAAAGCAGAAATAAACAAATGCTAGCGTAATATATACGGACTTTCAACTCCAGCGAAACGTCGCGTCTACACCAAAGGTGTTTCAGTCCTGCATATGTTGCTCTAGCCTTGGAAATGCGGGCGGTTATCCCCTTTGCTGCACTACCGTCATTGGTGGCACAGCTCCCTAAGTAGCAAAACCAATCCACAATAACTAATTCCTGACTATTTAGTTTCAGTGCTGGAGTGGAAGAAAACAAGTCCTACAGCATCACCTTACACCTAAAACGTGCAAAGCACGTATTGAATGTGGCAACTGCCTTTGCCAGTCTAACCAGTGTGCTTTGGGCATCCTCAATACATTCGAACAGACAGACGACGTCATCGGCGTACTCTAAATCGTACAATTTTCCTCCAGCTGCCCATTCAACACCGACGTTTTGGAGACCACTAAGTGCGTCCTCCAGTATTTCGTCTATGACGAAATGGAACAGGAACGGGGAAAGAGAGCACCCTTGACGAACGACGGTGCTCGTGACGAATCGCCTACTTAGTTCATCATAGACCATTACATGACCAAAGGTTCATGAGTACAGTGACCTCAGTAGGTTAAACAACTTTTGGGGCATTCCTTTTCGAAGAAGGGAGCCCATCAGAGCTTCGCTGTCAACTGAGTCAAACGCTCCTTTCAAATCAAGGAACACTGCGATCGTTGGTCGATGGTGTTTGTGACGCAGCTCAAGGACCTGGCCCAACGCAAAAATTTGATCAACACATCCACGGCTAGGCCGGAATCCAGCTTGCTGTTCACGGATTTTGGTCTCTCTTAAAGGTGTCAGACGTTGAAGTATAACCGATGCTAGCACTTTGGTGATGATCGGGATCAAACCGATCTCGTGGTCGTTTTCTCAATCATTGTGAGAATGTTTCTTGAAAATGAAATTGGCCCCAAGATTAAGGAATACGCTCTTGCGTCTGAATGTTGCGCAATAAGGTAGTAATAGAGGTTACGAGATTATCACCCCCATCTTGAAAAGAGTGGGAAGGAGCTCATCTGGTCCTGTTGCTTTTCCTCACTTCAGAGCCTGAATGCAACACCGAACTTCTGCTTCCGTTGGAGGATCGCACGACATGGTCCAAGGAGCTTCTGTCGGAGATGAAACAGCCTGGTTAGCGGCAGACCAGTTAAACGTTTAGCTGAATTATTCTGCCCACGATCAAGTCGTTCATTCGTATTATAAATAGCTTGTCCCACCTTATCACAGACCATTTCACTAACTGCAGTTCGCCGACCTCCCGTATTGCGTATCGGTCGTAACAGTCTGTTCTATTCCCTGATGCTGCTGATACTTCCATTTCACTAGCTATTGTTGCTCATCAGTTCTCACGGTCCTCTTTGTAAGCTGACGTTGTAGATGCCACCTAACTCTGTTTTGATCCTGGCAGGTCGGGACGCGTTGTTTTTTATCTATCAGGCCATTGCTCGTCTACATTATCACGTTGAAGCGCAGTCAGCTCACGCACTAGCTTTGACTCATATCTGCATGAACTGGTAGAACATACAGGAATGATGAGCTACCCTAGTTTGTTGGTTTCGTTCCCGGCCAGTCAGTCGGAGAGTGAACTGCGTCAAAACTAATCCGTCGTCAGACACAACGCAGGTGGTCCAATAGAAACTGTACTTTTGCATTGAGCCAAGCCAACGGCAGCTTACTGTTATGTGTCAAATCGAGTTAGCGTACCAGTGGGACTGGAGCACCACGTAGCCGTCCGTCGAGAGCTGTGTCGGAAGTTGGTACCGGATGGGAACAGATGATGGTCTGTGCAGAACTGAAGAAGTCGATCGCCGTTATCTGTTCGTTGGCAGGGCAGAGCACAACTACCACCTAGGTAAGCTTCTGATGCGCTCAGTTTTCCAACTTGCGCGTTGAATTCACCTGCAAGTACAAGTAACTATGTCGGAGCTTCGACTCATCCGAATGAGATCGGTGAGTTCATCGTAGGCGTCCTTTTGGGTATCAGAACTGCAACTAGATAGTGCATATGCTGATACGATGAACAAACACTTTTTGTGTTTGTTTCCCTTCGCACGCCGACAAAACCCCGGAGAGGCACTACACATAAACGACTGTTGAC